TTTTGAGTTCTTAGTCTTAGCTGGCCCAGCACTGTAATGCTTGAGTGAATTTCTTTAATGAAACTTAACAGTAGGGAATCAATGTTATTCAAAATTTGCTTTGCTAGTGGCTAATATGAAAAGCATTTCCCCCCTCAGGTAATTGCTTTTCTCATATAGTTTGCATTTCCAACATACTATACAAACAGTTAATACATGGCAGATATTTTCATAAGTAATCACAGGCTATTCAAAATTGTGACATAAAAGAGACCCAAATTGAAAAAAAAAAGTACTAGGTCAACTTCATTGCTAGCTTGAACTAGTTAGCATTTCCTGTGGGAAAGAGGTCCACTTTTCTGACATAATTGATAATGTCTGTCACAAATAGAGACGGCAAGCCTGAAATTTGCACAGGGACTTTTTCATGTTATCCTGTTCATTTTAAAGTAGAATACATTTTTCACAACTCAGTGGAGAGTTGAGCAATGAATCCCTTTTAGGTGGATATAGCAATGCACTAGGGAAACATGTCCAAGGTGGCACAGTGAGCCCAGAGAAGAGCCAAAGGTACCTGAAGGAGCTGTTTCTCAACACTTCCTGTTAGGGCTCTAGCCCTGGGGTGCTGATAGAGGCTTAATCAACACCTTTTCCCCAAATGTGTGGGTCTTCAAAAGCACGTGTAAACAAGATACACATTCCATTTGACTCTAAAACAGAACCCCTTGTGAGATACAAATAGCACCTGGTTCCCAGCCCAGGCCATGCCTCCAACAAGTCTGTGGGAGAACCACATAGGGTATATGGGGTATGGTCTGCTGTCTTTGATGGGTAGCAGCCTATTCAGTGTTGAAGCAGAGTAGGCCAAACATCATGAGTGGCTGTTCTTGTCAGCCTGATTCAATACATACCTGAGTGCTTTTCTAAAGTCAAGTACCAGATGAAGGTATGAGGGGAGTAGGGAGAACACAATTAAACGAGAAAAATGCTAAGTAGAAAGCAGAACAGAAGAAAAAGAGATAAGAAAAGAGGGGTGATGGGAATGAGGTATGCCTATTGGGCTTTGGAGTCAGACAGAAAGATAGCTTTGTATGTTTCCAGCTCCATATTTTGCTTAAATTGGGAACTGATACCCAGATAGATTAATGGTGAACCCTAATAAAATACAATTATTACCAAATAATGGAAATTCCTATTTATAATGGTGATTCCTGACTATAACTTAGGAAGACTATGTTTCCTCTGCAGTGTGGAGACTTCAGGGAAGGATTTGACTTGGCTCTAGTGTGACAGAAGATTTATGAAAAATTTAACACTGAAGATTGTATTTGTGCACATAGAGAAGCTTAGAGGTAGGTAGTCGAGGATTCACTAGGCAGTTCATCAAGTTGCAAGAGCCCCCTGGCTCCTTCTAGCTTTTTTGCTTCACCAGGTCCATGTTTTCAGTGTGGCTACTGAAGCTCCAGCTCTTACATCTTTGTTTCAGGGAGCAGGATAAGATGAAGGACAGAAGGAAGGCTCAAATTGTGCCTTGCAAAGGGCTTCCCAGAAGTGCCCATGTTTCATATCTGCTTGGCCAGAGCTTATTTTGGCCACTCAACTATAAGGGACCACCTGAGTAGCATAGTTTTCACTGGTGTTTCCCTCCCCCACCTTTCTCTCTCTCTCTCTCTCTCTCTCTCTCTCTCTCTCTGGCCTACATAAGGCCTGTAGAGAGAAAACATCTTGATCCTTAGGAAAATGTCATAGAGATGAACAATAATATTAGTGATGGTAGTGGTCACTCACATTTGAGGTGCCACAGCTCTGTGTTCAAAAATTTAGATGAACCCTATCCTTTAGCCTTCTTTTTATGTAGATGTGGTTATCTCCATTTATCAGAAAAGAAACTGAGTCTTAATAAATTTAAGTAGTCTTTCCAAGGGTCCATCACCTGTGAGAGGTAGAGCTATAACAATGAACCAGATGGGTCTTTATCTAGATCTCAAGCATTTAACCATGACTTTGCCTCCCACTTCTCAAGTTTTCACCTGGTGGTTTATTCATATCTATAGTGGGATTTTAAAAAACCTTATGTCCCATTTATGTTCTTATGGTCTTTAGCTTCCTACTTTTTTCACCACACACAAACACACACACACACACACACTTTATTTATTTCCCAAATTTTTAACTGTTTTTTTTTGTGTGTGTGTGTTTGTGTGGTTTATAAATACTTGGTTAGTTAATTATGAGTTGTCTCTTCACATTTTGGTGAGAAATCTGTGTATTAAAATTTGGGGCAATTTGTTATTTTGTTACTTACTGAGCAACCTTCTTCTCCTAGGCCCACTCCTAAAAGCTATGGGGATCACAAGGTAAAAAAGAGTCCCTTCCCTCAAGGAATTTACAATATACTTCTTTAGAGAATGGATTTTAGACAAGCCTGTTAACATCCAATTAGGCTGACATACATGCAAATCACAATTGACCTAGATGTAGACACCCATGTGTCTATAATTACAAGAGCATCATTGTAGCTCTGGTGGCCACCCATCCCTTTAAAACATCTAAGAAATTACTAGAATAAATAGGCAATTCTGTTTAAACACTCTATATTTTCCCTTAAACAACATGGTTTATATTATTGTGTTAGTAAAAAAAGCTTGTTAATGTTAATTTACACAAGGAAGATGGGGACTGAATTGTAATGCCTGTTATTTAAAACTAGGTGTTAACCATGTCCAATTGTCATAGTTTAATTCCAATTTTATGACATTTTAAATTGTGTCAAGAATAATGGACAAGTATAAAGTCTAAATCAGGTGAACATTGGAATTAAGTTTGGAGCCAGTACCTATCCATACAAGTCTATTAGTATTTATGACTGGTATGCTTTTTACAAAATTTGAGAAAAAAGATGTTCACCTGATAGGTTAGGGAAGAGAAAGAAGGAGCATTGGGAGGCTGGTGACAAAATCTCACACAAAACTTCCCTTTAATCCAGTCCTTGTACCTGCAAATCAAATATTAAGAGAAGGAATCAAGAAAAAGTCTTATTATACCCTTTTTCTTTTGCTTTTTTTCCTAGTGCATCTATCATTTTACTTAATCTAAAAGTTATTTTTTATAAAAACATAATTTTTTTATAACTTGGAACTACCAACAAATTATTTACCCCCATTTCCTGGTTATGTACAACCAGAAACATTTTGTCCCATTAATGGGGAAGTGATTTTTAAAATAGGCATAAATATACCACCTGTCTCTTGCATTTGCCTAGATAGATTTATTCTTAGTCTTTCAAGAATAAATTAACTGAGCTCCATCAGTTTGAAAAGTCAGTTCTTTTTTGCTTAGGTCACTTGTGATACATCATGTGCCCAGACGTTTGATTTATAGATACTGAGTCTCCTGGCTTTACTAATAGTCCCTTTTGGTGGTTCCATTCACTTTATCTGATCAATGTCTAATTGAACTTGAGATACTGGGTTTCATTATTATCTTGAGCGAACTTTACTTTGAAAACTTATAACATTTGGCCTAATGATAATGAAGTTGCACTTGTATAGACTTTTATAAACAAACAAAATGCATAAAACAAACAAAAATGCATTTCTACATTGTATGTGATCCTTTCTGCAACACTGAGAAAATTGGCTTATGTTCATTCATGATTTCATGTTGTCAGTATGAAGTAAACATGATAGACAGACGTGGTTTTCACCCTCCCAACCTGTTAGTGGGGAGAGATGTTTATTATGAATGAGGGAGACATGTTTTTATAAGAAATATATAGCTCAGAGAACTGAAGCAACTTTCCCAGAGTCATGGTAGATATGTGATAAAGGTTTCGGTGTGTGATGGATGACTAAACTAGAAGGGTAAGCAGGAGGGAGATTCTTAGTCTTGAAAAACTGACCAAAGTATTAGGATGAATAACCATTCGAGACTCTGGATTAGGGTGGTGTTTTAGTCAGCTTTTTTGCTGCTGTAACTAAAATATCTGACAAGAACAATTGTAGAGGCATAAAAGTTTATTTGAGGGCTCACAGTTTTAGAGGTCTCAGTCTATGAACAGCAATCTCCATTCCTCAGAGATCAAGGTAAGGCAGACTATCATGGTGGAAGAATGTGGCAGAGGAAAGTGGCTCACATGATGATCAGGAAGCAGAGAGACACTAAGTTCGGGTCACAAAATATACAACCCAAAGGCACGCCTCCAATGAGCTACCTCTTCCAGCCACACCGTACCCACCTTCAGTTACCACTCAGTTAATCCTCATTAGGGGATTAATTCACTGATTGGATTAAGTCTGTCATAATCTAGTCATTTCTCCTCTAAACCTTCTTGCATTGTCTCACACATGAGCCTTTAGGTGACACCTCACATCTAAACCATAACAGGTGGTAATATAATCCATGGTTAGAAGGAATATTCTTAGAGTAAGATACCAGCTAAATGGATAAAGGTGGTGGAGATGTGGCCAACTGACAAACTTTTAATACTTATATGTATAAGATAAAGTCCTGAAATAATGGAGTGGTTCAGGAAGGGGATGGGGCAGACAAATAGAGGCCACTGCACTGGGGAAATGGAAGGGACTCGGTGGCTGACTGTTTAGGAAAAGGAAAAGACAAAGATAAGAATTCAGTGATGCTGATGTTTCAGATCGTAAGAACTTATAATGACCACATTTGGGAAGCACCTAAAGAGCATCCATTAAAAGAACCCCAAAATATCCCTTCTTGTGGAATCCTTCTAAGACCACATCTTTGATGACACTCTCTTGGAGTATTTTCTAAAACCAGTCACAATGTTCCCTCCTGCTCCCTTCTAGACCTAGTCTAAGTGTGGCTCTCTCTATTCTGCTCTATCCCAAGGGATGAGGAGCAGTTACCACAAAGATTAGAAATTATGAAAAACTGGACCCAAGATCCTTACTCAGAAGTGGACCTCTTCCTGAAGGTGTGATGGTCTAGGTCAGCTGAGACACGTATGTGGCATGTGTTCTCTATTGATTTTCTGGATTGTATCCTAGGCATTTTTTGTCGACCACAACTCCCGAACCACCACCTTCATTGATCCTCGGCTCCCGCTGCAGAGCAGTAGACCCACAAGTGCACTGGTTCACCGACAACACTTGACCAGGCAACGCAGCCACAGTGCGGGTGAGGTGAGTCACATGCTGCAGGGACCGACCTGCTGGTTGATAGAAGCTACAGGGATGTGGTGGTTGGTGAAATTGGGTTGGCTTTTTATTATGTTTTTTGCTTTGCTTTGTTTTTCTAGTTTGATTTAAAAGGAGAATCATTTGGAGGATGAAAAGCTTTATAATGTTGACAGGCTTCTCTAGAAATATGCACAGCCTAAGTTACAAATTTTAAAGGTAGGGCATATGAGGAAAGACTGAAGATGAGATTTTTTTTTATTAACTCAGAGAAAGGTGAGAGGGAATTAATGATGCACTAAAATGTTATTAGAAGATGATAATGAGACTTTTTGCACATCCAAGGACATAAGAAGAAATGAATGCAACTTTTAGTGGACTAAAACTTTATTCAATATAGGAAAGGATTTCCCAAGTGAGGTTTGCTGGATTACATTAAAATATTCATCCAAGACTATGGAGTTGAGGAATCCTCACTAGTATTCTTTAAGATTAGGATATATCCAATGGGCTTGATTTATATACTAAATACCCAGAGAAAATTAGATGAACTAGAAATTACTGAAAGCTCTATGGGCTACTTGCCAGTTTGTAGTGGCCCATGGTAACCACATGAGGGCCCTCCAATATCCTAACCCAAAACACACAAATCCTTCCTGCTCCTTTCTAGACCTAGTCTAAGTGTGGCTCTCTTCTTTAGCAGTTTAAACACAAGGAATGTTTCAGGTTAAGTTACTTTGCTTCTCCTTAGAATCAGCTTATGCTTTGAGTGTGTATCATTCCTTAATGTACATTGTTTCTAACTATTCCCTCTACAAATAGAATTAAGATTCTTTTGTAGCATGCTTTTCATGTCTAAACACGTATCACGTTTTCAATATTATATTGTAAATCAAATATTGCTGTAGTCTTTCTTAAAAGAAAAAATTATGAATGCAATAAATAACTGGATTTGATTCATCAAAATTGAGCTCTTGGAATTTCCCCTCATGATTTAAATTCCTCCTGTAATGCATCCTGTGTTTGTTGGTTGTAAGTGCAGACACAGAAGAATTATACGTGAGAAGCTCATATAAAAATGATACATAAATCTATTGCAGGATGAGGTATGCACAAAAATATTTATGTTTTATGAGTAGCTTATAAATCTCTACCTCGCTGTCATATAAACCATTAGTGGTAAGCTGGAAGATACTGAGAGCATTCATTTTAAAAGCAAAACAGACCTCTCACCTTTGGACCTTGTGTGCAATGTGTAGCATAATTAGGACTCTGACTTATCACATGCCCCATGCACTTTAGCCATTACCTTATTGTGACCTCATAAGATGAAGCTGGAGGTTAGGTCAAATAAGACTCTTTTTATAAGGAAATATACTTGAGATTAATAGCCACATTTACATTTCCTTTCAACCCGTCTCCTCTGAACTTGAATTATTTTCATGGTCTAGTAGTAACCCATTGTGGGAGAGAGGCCCTGAGAGGTATGTTAAAATTTGAATGAAGATTTCTCTTCCTATTGATAGAAACTGAGCAGTAGACTAGAGATAGCACCATAAGGACTCCACATTTAGCCAAAGTGTTGCTGAACCTTTGCTAGGAACGTGCTTTCTGGTGCAGTGGTTGGAAGCCTACACATCTTGAAGTGCTACCCATACTTAGCATAGGATTTGCTTCCTGGATTATAGTCTGATTTCAAGATGTGAGATCTTGGAGAAGACCTTTGCTATCCAGGGAAATGAGACATGGGGCAATATGCTGACAGGAGGGAAACTATATATATTGGTATATTGAAATGGTACATTCTCTGACTGATAGACAATATGTAGTTAATGATGGAATCTTCACAGAGTGACTGATTCCATTCCTCAGGGCTGATAACTCAGGAGAAGCATCATAAGAAAACTAATTATACACATGAGTCTTTCCAGCCACTGTCCTGTACTGATTCAGCAAGTATCCCAATTCATAGAAATATTGGTATCTCTCCGATTCAACAGATTAATGCCAAACATGCACTAAAGTGCATAAACATAGTGGTTGGCATCATGAGAAATACAAATAATTAACATTTGTTGTTTGTGTTCTTAATTAGGAGAGAAAATATAAAATCATAATACCATGAATAAAAAAAATCTTTATAAAGCTTTTATTTTTTTTAGTAGTAGTTGGGAAAGAGAACTCTACTTTAATAACCTCCTTAGGTAATTGTGGATATTTTTCATTTTGAAAATTTCTTTCCAGCTTTTTTGAGGTATAACTGATAACTAATATAATCTGTTAATAATGGTAACTGCTTTGGAAATCTACGCTAAATCCTGTGGGAACTCAGAGCAGGCTGCATTTAACTTCAGCTTGAAGGGAAGGCTTCCTCAAGGAGGGGCTGTTTGACCTATACTTTGAAGCATGAGTGAGAACATTCTTGAAGGATAAGCAAACAGTGGAGGGTGGAGAGGCTGTTTCTAGGGTGAGGACCTTCAGAAAAATCCTCAACAAACATCAGGCCAATGCCATAGATAAAATGGTTGTGAAGGTTCCAGTGGATGGAAGTAGGAGCTCCATTTCAAATGTACTAGTTTATAAATCCGTTGTGTTGTTTTGCCTCTTGTTCTCTTATTCTTTTACACTACTGTTCTACTGATGTCCCAAAAGACTTCTGTAATATGGGGGAAATGCCAGAGTTTTCTGGCAATAATCTGAATGGGTATTTTGGGGCATCTACTTGTATGTATGACTTTCTAAATCGGTAGCAGGTACAATAAATAATTCAGGTTAGGGCAATCCTATTTAGGTTCTCCACACCAGCCACTGTTAGCTCCCTGGTGTGGGAGGCTCAAACTTGAAAGAGCTGTTATGCCAGGTGCTCTAATAGGCATGTGAAATTGCTGCTAAGGAGATAATACACTAACTTGGAACCCCATAGGAAGAGTGCTGCCCTTGGTTTCCTCCTCTGCTGAGACAGGGAATTCCCTGGCCTGCTTTAGCCACAAGAAGGAATATCTTGGCACTGCCCCAATACACTTTGTATCACCCAGTTCTTCCCTTTGATTGTACTGTTGCAGTTTTGTGTTATGTCAATGCATAAGTTATTCCTGATCAACAAGTCTGCTATTTAGGTGCCATAGCCTCAGTGATTACAAGCATATTGAACTACTTCTGTTACACTTGGAAATATTCACTGCCTAAAAAATAAAAAAATACAATACAATAAAATAAAAAAATACTCACTACCCCAGCTCCTTTCAAGGATGTGGGTACCTTAACTTTTCTCCCCTTCAGACACGAGAACAGGGCTTTTGAGGACCCAGAGTTCCATGTCAGCTCCACTGCTGGCAACTGATCTGATTGGCTGGTACTTTGCCTTGTTTGTTGTTAAATATTTTAAACAACTTGGTTTGGGATGCTGATGCAAATTCCTCTAGCTCCTGATGCAGAACATAAATGATGCTTGCATTTGCAGGTAGGAGAAGATTCTCGGCACGCAGGACCACCAGTTCTCCCCAGACCGTCCAGTACATTCAATACAGTCAGTAGGCCACAGTACCAGGACATGGTTCCAGTGGGTATGTCACCCCGTCCAGAAATCCCTCTGTGCTTTTGTGTCATTGTAGACGATGCATATTATACTCATACTTATCCTGTTAGCCTGCTATTCTCTGCCCTGTATTCAGAAACGATTGCATTAAGAAATTTCTAACAAAATCCCAGAGACTTCAGTCGCAAATGGCTTTTGTCTTATAAAAACCTATTGGATAAGATTTTTTAAAAATAGTACTCTACCTTTTCTAAGTAGAAGCCTTAGGTTGTTGAAGTTAAGAAAGAATAATTTATTAAGGTTATATATTTTGCAATCATAAACTAAGCATGTGAATGAGCACACACTTAGGGTATATTTAAAGCTTGAGACAGAATTTACATGGTGTGTGAATCTGTAGTCACCTCAGGAAGTAATCAAGCAAAGGTAGCACGTTCTTAAGGTGTTTTTGTAGCATATAGAAGGCAGCAAGAACCTTCAAAATAGTAAACTAAAAATAAATGAATGTGGGCATATAGGCCTAAAAAACAACTTGAGTGTTAAAATGATGAAGATGAAATAGATCTATGGTTTTCAAACCTGGTGCCCCTAAGGCAGATAGAGTGGATAGACCGAGGGAAGGTCATATGGACTGTCTTTTCCAACATCTTAAATTAGAGCACTTCTCCATTGTCTGTTTCTATTTTTAAATTTTTGCTTAAAAAAAAACTATGTGGTGAAATGCAGTGTAATGACAATGACCCAAATATATTTGATAACCACTGGATAGTGCACTGGATAAGAAGAAATCTAGGGTCAAGTCAGGATACATTTAATTGTGTCATTACTACTGTGATACTACATATCACACGTACAATTTTAAAATGCTGTGAAAAAGTTATCTAGTTTCTAATCTTGGATGAAATATAAAAACTAATAAATTATAAAAATGGCTTTTAGTTCATATATAATGAAATATATATTTAGGGACAGTTTGAGTCAACACTGGGCTTCCATTTTAGCAGATAACATTTAAAAATTTTTATTCATACTCAACTAAAATAGTATGTATGGGCAGCATAATGTACCATAAAATTTCAGACAGCAGATGTCTACAGAATTATACTTCTTTTGTTTAATCATTTGTTAGTTCTTTTTAAAGGCATGTATCTTGATCATATGTATAAACACAAAAGTGTTGACTTAGCCAGGAACTCTCATGTTTAAGAATCTACTCCCTTCTATGAATTTAAATATATTTATGCCTTTCCAACATCTTAAATTAGAGCAGTTCTCCATTGTCTGTTTCTATTAACAGAGTTCTTAATCTATTTTAATTAATTGTTTTTAAATTTCTTTAGCCAGCCTTGATTTGGAACATAAATTTTTTAATCATGTTTTATTCATAGGTGATGATGATTATTATATTGCAGCTGTTTGCATAGTTGTTTTGGTAAAAAGCGATTTATAGCTTAATAGCATTTATTTCCATGCAGAATTTGGGAATGATTTGCCCTCTGTATTTTGATTGTAGCTCTCTGCATCTTTTGTATTTGCGGAACTCTGGTTCTGCCCCTTTACCTCTCTGGCTGGCTAATATTTAACTAGAAAATGATTTTCCATTTATGACTGTTGTCATTTCTGTGAGGTTGATTTTGGTAAACTTAAAATGATCACTATCTAGAATCTTGATGAACTAATCTTGTCATTTGATAATAAATATGGTTCATATTGAGTTTAATAAGGGTTGAAATGAGTTTAATAGGAATACTTAAGTAAGCCACACACATCAGATATAAGGCATGGTCACATAACAGGTTGGACACACACTGGAATGTCAGCTTCTGTGATGGAAGAGACAGTGTAACTCCAAACTGTGCATCTGAATGCCAGGAATATTAACTATAAAAACTGCTTGTTTTTATATAAAACCACTGATAACACTTTTTTAAAAAAAACTGTTGTCTTTTCTGATTTTTTTTTCAGCTTATAATGACAAGATTGTTGCATTTCTGCGTCAACCCAACATCTTTGAAATTCTACAGGAGCGTCAACCTGATCTTACCAGGAATCACTCACTCAGGTAACCATAATCTTGGTATTTGTTTCAAGTTGCATAAGCCCCAATCATTAAATTTTGGTAACACTCGGAAATTCACTCTGTCACTTATTACAAAGGCATCTTCTAGGTCATCAGCCCCAACTCACTGTAGTTCTGACATCTATGAAGTACAAAAGTTGAATGAGATTAACTAAGCAATCTAGAGCTCTCTTTAAAGAAAAAACATGAAAAAGAAAGAAAAATTAACAGCCAAGAATCATACTAGATATGTATATTATACAGAAAAAAAAGTGTAGCTAGAGTAAACAAAATAATAGTTTATTGAATTAAGATTTGTAGAGTCTTAGGCTTGGTATTCACATTTTTCCATAATAAAAACACAGTGGAACCCAAGAAAGGAGTATGATTCTTTCTGCTGTCCAGCATTCTCCCTGCATGAACCCTCTCTTCTAAATAGCTCCTTAGCGCTTTCAGCCTGGTTTGACTTTACTGAATACAGGCTGTTCCTCTTCACTGGCAAGCTTTTCTCTTCTCAGTCTGGCAGAAAAGATCTCCTTTTCAAAGCCCAGGACAAGTTCTCCTTCCTTGAAACATTTCAGCTCTGCTGTGGAGTCTCAGTCTCATGATCTAGCCTAGTATTTCTCAATCTCATTAGAGCTAGAAAAGGGGGAATTTAATATTACATAACCCAAGGCCCTACATGCCACCTTTGCAGACATTAATTTGGTGATTTATCATGTAAGGTACCTCTTTTTTTTTTTTTTCTTTGTACTGTTTTGGCTATTTGATTTCTGTGCTTTAGTTTGATTTTTGAAGTTTTTAAAACCTTATTTTCCAATTAGATTATAAGATCCTTGCAAAGAGGGATCTTATAAGACTCGTTATTTCTCCTTCTTACTACTCAGACATCTAGACTAGCACTTTGCATAGTGAACTTGTTAATTCGAAAATAAATTATCAGCTATTCTCGGTTTCTCCTGCCTTTTAAAGCTGTCATTACTTTTAAAGTTCTAAAGGCTACAACTGCACAACATTTCGAGTATGACATTACAAACGTTGCTTATGTGGAGAATTCAGTTTTACATGATTAACATTAAACTGAAGATTTAGTCCTTTCTCCAACACAGCACTCTGTTCTCAATCACATAAAAGATCAAAATTATACAAGTGTGGATTTGGTGTGTTTGTTTATTATGAGATCCACAAAGTCATCCATGGAGAATCTCATGTAAGACTTTTTAGTTAATGAAATTGCAGAAATGAGCTCCTTGATGGTCTAATTAAAGATCTTACTGATTCTGGACTTTAAATCAAAGCAAATAAACAAGCTAAATTCTTACTCTTTTGCTAGCCAAAAGATAAAGCAAACACTATTTTCTCTAATCTCTACCACCTCCAGCCGCAGTACATGTCCACAAAGGCTTGCTTATACATACACACACACACACACACACACACACACACACACTTACACTCACACTCACACACTCACACAGATTTAGTTCATATCTGTTCCTCTGGAAATACCCTAATCCCCACATAAGAGAAAGAAAAAGGAGGAAACTCAAGTTTTCCACTTTTTCTCTGCACTTCACATTAGCATTTAAAATAATTAATGTATCTTTCAACCTCCCCATGGGAGAGGTTGGATGCTTTAATCTCTACCTGAACAGAGCATTGTCATTATTCTTTAATGACTTGACAGAACCTTAACAGACCCCAACAGAAGGGAGGCTCCAGGCTCCAGATGGCAACTTCCCAGTTTTCTTTTTTATTTTCTTTTTTACTTTTTTAGTCTTAAGTCTCTAATCTTCTGAACATTGCTGAAGATTTTATAATTGAGTAACACCCAGGGTCCTCAGTTAAGCATAATTTTCTTCTAACATAGATCTCACATGATAATCCCTTACTAAGAAATTGTCTGATAGGCCTTGGAATATGTTTCTATCTATTTACATTTGTTAAATATGATTATGGAAAGCATATGTAATCAGGACAAGTAGAAGGAAATAGGAATTTAAATCAATGAGCTAATGCCAGAGTGTGTGTCACAGTGTACTTTCATTTTCCAAAATGTTTTTGGTAGTTAAGCACTTTGCTTTATCATAATGACCTAAAGGGGAAGTTTATATATGTGAGAGAACATTCTGTTTCATGTAGTTAAAAACTGCATTGTAAGGACCATTCCCATAAGTAGCAGGAATGGAACCAGCTGGAGTTTAATCTCACATTTCAGTGATATTTTTAATAACAGATTGCATTAACTTTCTGCACTACAACAAAATGCCTGAGATAATTAACTTATAAAGAGAAGAGGTTTATTATTGTTCATGGTCCAGTCCATGATCAGGAGGACCTGTTGACTTCAGGCCTTTGGTGGACAAGCCAGATGGCAGTGTTGGGGAGTATAAATTGGAGTAAAACTGCTTACCTTCTGGCCAGGAGGCAAAAGAGAGAGGAAGGGGCCAGAGTCCCACAATCCCCTTCTGGTACACAATCCCAGTGACCTAAGGACCTCCCATAAGGTACCTTCTTCTATAGGACCACAGTACCTCTCAACAGCATCTTACTGAAGACCTGCCCTTTAACACATAGTCCTTTGGTGGACATTCAAACTATAACATGGACTTATTTATGTGTGGAATAGAGCCACTGGGTAATCTGTATCTCGCAGGTGATTATAAATCATCTGCTCATGCCTTAAGCAAGGATTACCAACACCAACAGAGTTTTCTACACATTCTTCTTCCTCTGTGGCATATCCACTTAAAAGAAATAACCCTTCATATTCTGTCCACAAATTAATGAAGAAATAGAGGACAGCCTTGGAGACTGAAGTAGGTATGCCTTCTTATTTTGTATTTTTCTTCTTTTGTGTGTTATTCTCCCCAAACCAGAAAATAGCAAGCTGTTTGATAGTTTGCATCCATATATAGCTTCCTCTTCCTTGAGACTCCACTTGGGTATCTTTTCCTGTAGAATGGCTGAGAGTTTCCATGCAATAGAATATGGCTTTTATTTCAACTCTGTATTGAAATCACTCCTCTATCTATCATGCAAATGTGAATGGTACCAAGTACCCCCTGGTTTTCATTTTTTAATTTTGAAAGAGATTTATTTCCTTAATTAGAAAAATCAGCATCCAAATTTGCTACCACCTCTGTCAAATGGGAAATGTCCCCTTGGACTGTTATATCCTACTCCTAGTTCTCACTGGAAGACAGTAATCATACCAACATATTTGAATGCTTTGTCATAAAAAACAAGAGATAAAGTAAAAAGTTCCAGTACTGTATCCAAATAAAATATATTCATTTAAAAACTTTTAATAGGAGCTGGGTTGTGGCTCTATAGTAGATGCTTACCTAGCATGTGTGAGGCACTGGGTTGGATCTTTACCACCACGTAAAAAAATAAATAAAAAATAAAGACTGTGTCCATTTACAACTAAAAATATTTAAAAATTTTAAAATAATGTTTTATAGGTGAATTTTATGAATACAAATTCAGTAAAATTTTTAATTTTGGTGTTTGTACAATATTCTGTTATGATAAAGGATCTAAATGTCATAACCCCCCGAGTTAAGAGTTGAGACATTCCCTCTTAATGTGATTATTAAGTCTAACCACTTAATCTAATCCCTGCCTGTCTTGCTCTCCCCAGGAGTCAGTGATAATTATTTTGGGCACCAGGCTGATTCCTCTTTGAGCACTTCCTATAGAAATTCCCTTGCCATAAGAATGTGATCTGTGCCGGGGATGATGGAGTACACCTATAATCCCAGCACCTCTGGAGGCTGAGGCAAGAGGATCACAAGTCCAGAGCCAGCCTCAGGAACTTAGTGAGATCCTAAGCAACTTAGTGAGACCCTGTCTCAAAATAAAAATAAAATGAAAAGAGCTGGATATTACTCAGTGGTTAAATGCTGCTGAATTCAGTCCCTAGTATAAATAAATAAATAAATAGATAGATAGATAGATAAATAAATAAATAAATAAGTAAATAAATAAATAAATAAATAAAAGAATGTGATCTGTGACACTTTTGTTCATTCTGGGTAAATCAGCCCATTTAATATTTTAAGTTTTAGTAAATCAGAAAATTGGAAGTCCAAAACATCCTGAGCCAGAAAAGGCAAATGTATGTGTGTCTCTGGATTCCCTAGACTGGAACTAAACTCAGACTCTGACCTTTATGTTCACATCATCCTATTTTTAGAGCCCTGCATGTTTGAAAATTATTTTGAAATTATTAAACAATACAGAATCATATGGAATTAAAAAGATAAGATTTTCAAAAGCTGATTTATACAAAACAAACCCCAGTTTTCAAAATATCTAACCCATTTCTCAAGTAGAGATTTTATAGCAAGTGAATTTTTCTATATTTATGATCGGGCTAGATATTAATATCAGTTAAAATCTGAACTTTTTGTTCTAAGCATCATGAACTTATTTCTGCTGGCCTGATGTGCTTTCTTGTTGGGACTTGCTTAGCTCTGTCTTTGAGTCCTCCTCTAATTTGTTTACTGCTCGCTCGGATGTCTGGACCAATATGGCAATCTTCTGTTTTTATTGTACTAAAGTTAAATCTAGAATAGAACTGTTGTTTTCCTAAGTTGTAGACCATTTGCTTAGGCATAATTGTTAAATTTTTAAAATACCCAGTTAAAATAACTTATAGAGACCACCTAGTGATGACCATCATGAAATCTTGCTAGAAGTCTCTCACTGAAGACCAGACATCCTGGCTCTTAGAAAGTGGCAAGGAATTCATCTTAAGAGTTCAGATTTAGGGGTCAGCCAGTCCTGGGTTGGAATTCTAGCTCTGCAGTTTGCTCATCCTTCAAAGGTGACAATGAATGAGGCATTTAACAACCCCCTAAGTTGTTACCCCAAAATTGGGGCTGGGAATTTCTAACCTGCAATGTTCTTTTCAAGATTAAATGAGAAAATTAATACTTGGTGTTCAGTGGTATTCATAGCACTTGGTACTATGTAAGCACAGTAAGCATATAATA